GACCGCATCCCCAACTCGTTCATCCGCGCCAGATGCAACATTCTGGGCCTGGAAGAAACTCTGCTTAACAGGAGACTCCGGTGATTCGGCCACGTGCTGCGGCGGCCTGGTGATGAGTTCGTCCGTAAACTGGTGGCGCCAAACGCACCCACTGGTTGGGGGAAGCGCCGAGGTGTTCAACTCAAGACGTGGTTCACAACGGTCAAAGCAGATATGGAAATCATGTCCGGTCCTCGTGTTTTCGGCGTCCGACGCTGGAATAGCGAATGGCTCGATCATGCCGTCGATTCTGCTGCCGATCGAGTGGGGGTGGGTGGCCTTGACGCGCGATGCGGTTAATTCAGTTGGAGCCGGCTCAACCCACCCCGGGTGAATGCCGTTACAAGACAAGACAAGAAGAGAAGGCAAAGAAATGCGCTCAAAATAAATTTCGTTAAAGTTGTAAAATTGTGTTCGAAATATTTAGATTTCCGCATTAGATAATTAGGTTGATATGCCGCTAAGTATCAACCAACCTAGGCTAGATGATTTGCCCTGTGTGTGCCTTCGAATGTCAACTGTTAACTTGGCGAGGTATATGTAATTTTATCGATTCGAAACAGAGTCTTCTGTAAAGTTCTCGTCGGTGGACTCATGATTTTCGGGCACCTTTCTTGTATCTTTCCAACCTTCTGGCCTTCATAGACTCCACAAGGAAAATATTTTGTCATTCTAGCGAATGGTTATCGGGCACAACCATTCTGACAGTTCCACGTTTAGCTCAGCAGTTAACTTGCAAATACACGCTGTTGATTCCTTTTCAAATTTGGTCTTGGAGGCGTTAATAAAGCCCCGATTCCTCTTGGCTGCTGTAACCTACATTTGTGGTATTCTTGACATTGTAGGCAGTGCACAAAGACACACCAACTATTTTGGAAATGCTTCTAATGTTGATTTCTATTCGAAACAAATCTGATTCTCTCCCCCTCCCTTTCTCTCTCTCTCTCTCTCTCTCTCTCTCTCTCTGTGTCCTTCTCCAATATTCCTGAAAAAAAAATAGGTGTATATTAAAAACTGCAAATTTCAATAGAAACTTCGTTCTACGTCTATTTTCATATCATTTAGTATCGTGGTTGGAAGGCAGTTTTAGTGTCAGTAGCGGTTTTCCACTCTATATACAATTAAACTTTATTTTTTATTTTTATATATATAGATCTTTCACATTTGATATGTATACGGTGTTCCAATAATTTGGACCGATTTTAAATGTGAATTAATTTTAAACGTCTAATGATTTTTTTTCTTTTTCTTTCAGATGTAACAACTTTGGCAATTTCAACCAAGGAAAGATTAACAATCAAACAACGTGTTAAAGTTATCGAAGCCTATTAGGAAAATGGACGTTCAAATTTATAAATATACGACCCAATTATTTCGCTAACAAAAAATGCACACCAAACAATGACCTTTTTGGATGCAGTGACTTTTCAACAATCTTCCTTGGATTTTCATCAGCCCAAATGCGACAATTCTGCTTATTAACGAAACCACCAAGATGAAAATGGGCTTCATCACTAAAGAGGTTTTTTTTTGTGAAAAATCTTCATTGATTTGTCTTTGCCCGTGCACACAATTCACGAATGCACGGCGCTCCAAAATAGTCAGCACGTTTTAGTTCTTGTGTCAATTGAATTTTATAAGTAGACAAATCTCTTGTCAAAATTCAATGTAACGTTGTTGTGGACATGTTCAATTCATACGCATGATGACGAATAGAGGTGTCTGGATATTTGGCCACATTCTCGTGCACTGCAGCAATGTTTTCAGCTGAACGGCGTAAACGAGCACGCAATAGTGTTTTCACATTTGCCACCGACCCAGTTTGTTTGAATTTACGAACAATTTTTCCAATTGCACTCTTGAATATTTAACACGTTGTTTGATTGTTAATCTTTCCATGGTTGAAATTGACAAAGACTTAAGTCGTTAAAACTGAAAGAAAAAGAAAAAAATCATTAGATGCTTAAAATTAATTCACATTTAAAATCGGTCCAAATTATTGGAACACCTTATATATTTATTGGACACGACTTAAGGTTCTGACGTAAAAGAAATGCTTTTTCCTCATGGGTAAATGTGGTGCCTCCTTCCGTTCTGTTATTCTGAAGTCCACTAGATTTCATAGCTCTTTTCAGTATCAACAGGATTTTTATTGCAAATTTTTTTTTTGCTTTTAGTAGCGTGGAAATCTAACAGCTTGATTATATGATTTCAAATCATTATAATTATGATATTGATATCAATATTTTATGTCTTATATCATTATTGTCTCATTATAGTGTATCCATTTTTGCTGCTACACTTGTTGGTAACGTTCAAGTGAGGTGGTGTTTGTTATTTGGTAAAGCTCTTTATTCTGTAGCCCCTGATGAAGCCTGATGAAGAGTCGTTTTTCTTAATACCTACATGATTCATTTGCTTAAAGATCGAGAACACGTTTTGTTTTTCCTCTTTGTTTTTTTTTTCTTCTTCGTTTTTAAAAATAATTTCACCCTAAGCAACTCAATAGAGCCACTAAGACGCATGGGTTTACTGAATGTTAGGTAATATGAGAAAAATATACTATTCCGGAGAGGGGACAACAAAAGAACAGGAATCAAGAAAGAAGAAATTAACGATTGACATTACATTTAACTTTTTAAAGATCAATGCTGACTTGGGAACAAGAAGCCGGAAGAGAGTTCCACAAGCGAGAAATGCACTGAATATTCCAGTCACATCTAGTCTGCTGCTTGAACTATCCGTTGTGGATTCCGGGTTGAAATCCGGTACCAATAAATAACAAACGCCAAGAATGAATATAGGAAAATAATGTATTAACGTAATAATACAAAGTGGTAAAGCAGGTTAGTAGTTCCAGGAATACGGGTTAGTAGCAAAATATATATACAGTCTTTGGTAGTGAAGTATTGCGATATGACTTCTTACTGAGTCTACATTGCTCGTTCACTGTGACTCCTACAACGCTGTTACGTCACCCTCACTCTTCCGGTTACCTACAACCTTTTACTCTGTCACTCTGGACTCGACTCGACTGTTCGGTCTTGCTCACTTTCGTCTTCACGTAGCCGTAGTATATGTATATACTGGGTGAGTCCATTTGTGTAAAAAAGGGGAGAGCCCCTCAACTCTATCTATTTAGAGAATCTTGATGAAATACAAGCTTGAATCTCGAACGTTCTTGGTCATAAGCTGGCATCTAAGCTTCAATTACCTTCCCACCGTCATGACATAGTTTGTTTGTGCCTTTTCTATAAATATTTTCATTTTAATTGTTCTAATGAGCTTTTCTCTTTAGTCCTGAGACTTTATGAATGCAAATGCAGTATAGATTCGAGGCAAGGACTCGTCATTTTACAGTTGAAATAGCTAGATGTAACCGTAAGTTTTATGCTAACAGTTTTTCCCTTACACTTCTCGCTTGTAAAACCCTTTTCTGGCTTCTTGCATTCCAGTCACCATTGATGTTCAAATATTTAAATGCAATGTCAATTGTTATTTTGTTTTCTTAATTCCTGTTTTTTTATTGTTCTCCCTCCTTAATAATATTTTCTTTTTCTCATATTCTCTCACACTCAGGAACTCCTTGCGTTTTAATGGTTTTATTGTCTTGCTTGGGGTGAAATGATTAAAGGAAAACGTTGTATTTATCAGGTTACAGAAACCGTTTTGCCCTTGCAGACTTTATAAGAATATTCACCCTTACGAACTGACTTTCAAGGGCATGGATTATCAAAAGATTTACACGGGGGAGACGAGTTTTCGAAATAACCGCTTTGATAGAAGAATCGGCCGGCTTCCCACTCGGCTAATAAATTGTCGGGAAAAAAAGTCGTGTAGTGAATTAATTTTTTGTTTTCTTTTTTTCCAAACAGTTTGGAACATTATTATTTAGTGTTTCCCAGGAATTCTGCGGAAATGGTTGATGCAAAAGAATTCCCAGTATTCTTTACACAGGGTATGGACACTTCCGTTCGTCAACGAATTGTCTTATCAGAAGATCAGACAAGATTACAATAATTCCTTTGGGAAAGAAAGAGGAATTCTTTTTTTTTTTACTTTTATTTGTTTTTGTTTTTTCTTTTATTTCAGTGTATCCTATTTCGAAAATGTCTTCTTTTTTTTTTAAAACTTCGAAACCTATTTTCCGATGATGTTGAAGATATATACAATAAAACGAATTCTGGTAATACAGAAAACAAATTCTGGAGAAAAACAGAAAAAAATAATTCTGGTGGGGGTAAAAGATTAATTCTTGTAGGGATAGACAACAAATATTGGAGAAAAATGTAGAAAACAAATTCTATAAGAAATAGAAAACAAATTCTGAGAAGAAAAAAATATTCTGGTAATACAGAAAACAAATTCTGGGGAAAAACAGAAAAAAATAATTCTGGTGGGGGTAAAAGATTAATTTTTGTAGGGATAGAAGACAAATACTGGAGAAAAACATAGAAAAGAAATTCTATCAGAAACAGAAAACGAATTCTCAGAAGAAAAAAACAAAACAAAGCAAATTCTGGTAAATTTGGTATCTATTCTGATAATACAACTATTTATACAACTATTTACTCCTTCCTTAATAGTAAGTCTGAAAAGGTTAGAAAAGGTTAAACTAGCAGCTGATCTAAAAAAAATGACCTACGATTTGCTGTTAACGGGGGCAAGGAATGGGTTATTAATTTTAACGCCTCCAAATCAATATTTGTACGTGATTAAGTGCAATGAACTCGACAGGAATTCAAACTCAGCTCTCTGATTTCTCATCCAGAGCCACTATCCATTACACTTCTCACACATCTATTCTGACATGAATAGAAAGCGAATTCTTGGAGGGTGAGGAAACAAATACTGTAGAAAAAAGACAAACAGCGAATTCTTGACAAAAAAAAAAAGAAAAAAAAATGAAGAATTTTTCTAAATTTAAAAACTGTTCGTCATGGAAATTGCAGAAATTCGGCTTACGACCATATGACGTCGAATCACCAGTTCCCGTACGATTACCTAAGTTAAGCAACATCAAGCCTGATCAGTACTTAGATTGGTAACCGCTTGGGAATATCAGGTGCTGTAAGCTTGGATTTATGTATGTGGTGTAATGAATAAAGTCTCGGAATTTGAAATCGGAGAACCGAGTTTCAATTCCAGTCGGGTTTATTATATCCACTTACGCGCATATACTTTTGGGAAAGTTATGAATCCACCACTTATTCTCCTCGCTATGGGTTAAATAAGAATATTTGTATAACTAACTTTGTATTATCTTCAAAAAAACATTCTTACAAAAAAATATTTTCTAGCGTTAAATAACTTACAAAATGCTGATAGGCCATAAAAAAAATCAATTACACATACAATTTATAAAACTGTTCCTGTAATTGAGCGAAAGTGAATTACTCGGGCGTATTTGAAATCGGTTCGCCAATTTCAATTTCGGGGCTGATATCCGTTATAGTACCCGCGTATCTATTCTTTACTTTACTGAATGTAAAAACCCAGTCCTCTTTTCTTTTTCTTTTTTTAATTTTACCCGAGGCATATTGCCTGTGGTACTATATCTTTCTGCAGTATTGACAATTATTTTGGCGTTCTTTCTTTCTTTCTTTCTTTCTTTCTTTCTTTTTACTGTACACTCCTAGAATTGCGAAATCAACCCTTCGGATTTTCACGGTTTTTTCCTAGCTCTTTTAATTTTCTCATTACTATATAAGAATTCTTGACACGATCCCCTTTGTTTTACATTATTGTCGGGGACAACGAGACGCTCAGGGATCATACTTGTTTATTACATGTCTCGATTATATATTGTGGACTTCTGTAGACAAAACCAAGAAAAACAGACTAGCACTCAAATAAGCTAGAACCAAAAGATAACAAACAGAAACCATCACTGAGAAAGCTAATGCCAACCACTTTGTCGTCTGCAGATAAAATCACGCGGCTTTATGAAAGCTTCCAGAGGAATTGGTCTTTATATAAATGTAGACATAATGGTTCATGTGCTTTAATCAAGACTCCATCATGGTAATAACATCTGTATTATTCAATGTAATGGGAACATTCCCGATAGCAAAGCATAGACATACTAGCATTGGGCGTTCATTCGAAACAGAAATTCAACAAATATATGAAGAAACAGGATACCAACCCGAAGATCTATTAGGGACAATGTGATGATTGTTACTAAAAACAAAAAGATATAAGCAGACAGACTGAATAAAAGCTTTGAGAAAGATGCAAGAGTAATCAGTCTTCATATAAATGAACTAACCAAACTCGCCTTAATAGGGGAAAGATTGTAACGTAAGCTACAATGACCAATCAAAATACAAGTATATGATAATTCAAAAAACATGACAACGAACCTTCAATACAATTTATTAATTCCTTAATTAATTAATGTTAATGTAATTTAATCATGTGGCGACGAAGATAATAATAATAATAATAATAATAATAATAATAATAATAATAATAATAAATTAAAGTTAATGGCTGGCCACTCGTATTCGAGGATACTCGTTTCCTATTGCGGTTAGCGAATTGCGGTTAGCGAATTCCTATTGTAGACGTTTGCTCAGGCACATTTTGTATTTGTCCAAAACCCACGCATTTATGCAGAGCAAACCTTAATTACAGTTTTGGGGAGCGTGTTAGCTGGCGTGCTCAACAATCTGAACAAGGCCAATTTCAGGCACGCGGTTAGGGTTATCAGGAGCTTTCCAAAGGTGCCGCACGCTGGGTCGATCACATCAAGAAGTCATCTTCCTGACAAATCGACCATGGTGAGATTCGAACACGGGATCTCATGGTCAGAAAGCGAATAATCTAACCACTCGACTACGTGCCCATTTTGTTTATTGACACACACACACACACACACACACACACACACACACACACACACACACACACACACACACACACACATATATATATATATATATATATATATATAACAAATATATGGATATAGATCCGACAGTATATATACGGAAAAACAAAACAAAAATCCTTATATACAATTATGCTGTTTTAATGTTAATATGTACTGAAGATGGTTTATTAGACCGAAACGTCAGACGTTGACATATTAACATTAAAACAGCATAATTGTATATATGATTTTTGTTTTGTTTTTCCGTATATATATTTTTTTCATACATACATACATATATATATATATATATATATATATATATATATATATATATATATTTCTGACGATCCGCTTAGGTGAAACATTGGTAGGTTTGTATGGCTCTCTAGATTTGACTAGGTCTGCTCTACTTTTGTATTGAGCACTTTTTTTTTTGATTACTCGTATCTTTTTTTTCTTTAGGCTTTGGACCTGTATCCTGTACGACTATTTTCGACAGACGTTCATGTTCCTAGCTCTTTCTTTCTTTAAAAAGCTTTTTTTTCCTTCGAAATTGATTTGATCATTAGCAAATCAAGAAACCGAAGGTTTTCCGAGACGAGTATAGTTACCTATATATATATATATGTGTGTGTGTGTGTGTGTGTATCTGTGTGTCTGTGTATGTGTTCATTTCTGTATATACTCTGGTCCTTATTTTATTTTCGGTGTTGTATCTTGTTTGGCTGTTATATTTTTTATATGTGTATACGTATATATTGTGTCTGTTCATTTGTATGCATATATTTAATTGTCTTTTTTCTTTGCTTTGTTCATAGCCGAATATTTGTTTTTCACTTATACCCTTCTTAACCTTTCATCAGTTAAATCTACTTTTTATCTATCTATCTTTGCCCATGTATGTAAAATTTTGATGGATTCTACCCGCTTATTAAAATTTTTAAGCTTGAATCTTGGTTAGTCTATGACTTTATTAGTATATGGGTGTGATTGCTTGTATATGCTTTTAATTGTATGTCTGATATTATTTTCTTTGACATGGATTTCACTATTTCCTGTGTCGTCTGTGTTTTTGTGTGTTTATATATCTAAATATATGTACGTGTTTGTGTATTATGATGTGATTGTGTCTGTCTTGTCATTTGTAAAACGTCTTCCCCTGCTGTTGAAACTTGACTAATGCATGGAATAATAATGCAACACAAAATGTACTTAGAACAAAATGTATTGAAACAAGAAAATGTACCCAATATTTACATATAGTCTTTTGTATATTCCTGGTAAGACCGTTCCTGGAGAATGTGTTGACTGAGTCGCAGTCGGGCAGAGTCTCTGGTTGAATCTCTTGATTCCTCCCTCTCTTCCCGGTACCAAACATATTTATATGGTCGGTACTCCACTATGCAAATTAGGTGGATCCTACAACAACACCTGCCCACATCATCTGAATTCAGATCCCTTCAATTGTATCTAAGATGATTGAAACTTCTCAGATTAGCGTTTGTTCCAACTGAAACACTGGCTTTTCGATTAAAACAATAAATAAATAAATAAATATATATATATATATATATATATATATATATATATATATATATATATATATTATTCCGTCGCCTCTTCGAATAATTTAATATTTTAAACTTAATGCAAGGTTAAATTTAAAATTTGTAATTATTATTTCTTAACTTGATAGTAAAATTAAAAATTAATCGGAATGATTTCTAATTTAGTCTAACATTAACATTAATAAATTGTATCTAAGGTTCGTTGTCAAGTGTTTTGAATTGTCGTATCCTTGTATTTTGTTTGGTCATTGTTGCTTACGTAACAATGTTTGCCCTATTGAGATGACTTTTTTCTTTTTTATTATGTAATTATATATATTTATAAAAAAAAAAAGAAAAAGCCAACACTTAACCATAACAACTACGAACACAGCCACAATGTGCTGACCGTGTTCAGAAAATAAAACATTTCTATAACACACTAAAGACATACACATTAACGCACACACTCAATTAAAGTGTAAAAATAAAATCATCATTGATAATGGCTAAAAATATAGCCGAAAGCGCTCGTAACTATAGAACATATGGACAATTTCTACACGCTCTGTGTCTAAAAAAGTAAACACTTGTTCGAACACAAGAAAAATTAAATTAAAAGCTTAATCGTAGCACCGTGTTTGTCGATTTAATGAAACATGCATAAATGAAGGATTTCTGCCTAAATGCAAATACCTTAAATCTATTGTCTTCAATAATCACTAATGCTTCTGTTTTCTAATTCTTTCACCCAGCAACCCTTTGTGACTTAGTGGCGTTACTGCCTTGCATAATATTATTTTGATATATATATATATATATGTGTGTGTGTGTGTGTGTGTGTGTGTGTGTGAGAGAGAGAGAGAATTATAAATAATCTCCGTTTTTGTCAATCAATTTTATTCTTTCAAAAAACAAAGTATAATTACATTTTATTCAATTATATAGTCTTCCTATAATTCTGAGATGTAGTATTGTAACTATTTACACTATTGACATTCATGTTGTTCTCATTTTTATTGTCATATTCACGACCTTTCAGTCGTTGTAATCTCCGATCTTCTTCAGATGATATTAGCTGGAAGGCATGACACGTGGAATTAAATCTACCCACGTTCATTGAGCAAACTCCAACTAATATCGAAATTCCAACTAATATCACCTGAAGAAGGCCAGAGCGTACAATGGTCGAAACGTCGTGAATATGGCAATATAGACGAGGACAACGGTTCAATCAATGTAAGTAGTGTAAATAATTATATAGTTATTCGTGTTTGCAGTGACTTGTTGACACTTATCAAGCGACGCTACAGTAAAATACATTTGCATTTTCGTTTGACACTTCAATCTGGCTTTCATCAGATAATGTTTTCCGCCATCAAAGCGTTTTGCAGTTATCAACAAAGGTAAATGTCTGTTGGTGCAAAGTCAGGTGAATATGGCGACTGGGGGGGGGTAGAAGAGAGCAAGCAAATTCATAAATATTCCCTGGTGTTATTCTTGCTGTAAGTGACCTGACGTTGACATAAAAGAACACATTGTTTTTTTTATTCCCTTCAATCCACTGTGTACACTGCCACTAACTCGCAAAGACTAAGCTATTCCAATGTACACCAAATTGATTATTGACTGACTCGTATGATTAAAA